CAGCACTGCCTGCAGATCCTGCCTGAGAGATACTCATCCCTGGAGATCCCCAGATACCAGCCGAGCTGCTCCTGCCCCTTCTCCTCTGGCTAGAGACCCCACCAGCACCCTGCTCCTGCTCTCTGACCAAACACCTACCCCTAGCTTGTTCCTGCCCCCTACCTCCCAAACAGATTCTGCACTCCCACCCCTTTCCCACTCCTTGGCAGTTTTGTCCCACACACTGAATCCCTCATTTTTGGCCCCACCCCAGAGCCGAGGGAGGTCCATAAAATCCACTAACCCTGGAACCCCAGAAGAGTTAATCTGGCCTGAGGCTTTGAACCTCAGTCCTATCTACCCTCCTCCCTCACCCCATGGGGCTGGAGTGCCAGGAGAGCAAGGTGTCTCAGTTGGGGCTACATCAGTGAGGATTAGGGTTTTTGGAGGGGTTGTTTTTTTGCATCTCACTTGCGTGGTCCCTTACTGATTTTAATGTGGTCAGTGGCCCGTAACCCAAAAAAGGTTCCCCACCACTGTCATAAATAAAGACAGTGTTGAAACCTTTTGTTTTTATTTAAAAATGAAAGCTGACCAGCAAGCCCCCATCTGGCTGCATCATAACACTTCTGCACCTCCTACCCCACCCCAGCCCTGAGCCCCTCATATACTCCAATCCAAACTTCTGCTCCTTCACATCCACAAGCCTGTGGTTTGCTCAGCACCCCAATCCTCCACCTGACCCCCACACTCTCCAGCCTGGAGCCCCCTCCTGAGCCAGCTTCCTCTTTTTTACTCCTGCACCCAAATTCCCTCCCAGAGCTTGCCCCTCTCAAACCCTTCCCACACCCAAATCCCTCATTCCCACCCCAGAGCCTGCACCTCCTGTCTCAACCCAGTGAGAGTGAGTAAGGGCTGGGGACAGCAAGTAATGGAGAGGAGGGGAATAGAGAAGGTGGGGCCTCCAGGAAGGGGTGGGGTCCTGGGGAGGGATGAGGTAGATCTTGGCTTGCCCTGACATTTAAAAAGTGATCTTGGGTGTAAAAAGGTTGGAGGCCACTGGTATAGAGGCACCTAAACATGCAGTGTAGCCCCTGCCACCACCCTGGCAGTGCCACCCTCATCACCGTGGGCAGCCCCAAGAACTCAACGGACCTTCCCCCATTCCCCCCCTTTGGCCAGCCCCAGGGAGAAGTTAGCAGGCAGCCTGTGGGGCAACCCCTCTCCTGCCCCAGGCTAGCCCTGTCCCAGGCAACCCCGGGTGACTAGTCTAGTATATTATATTGACTACATGAACTGACAAACATGGCATCTAAGTATAGAATCTAAAAGACATCTGAATAAGTTGGTCTCACAGTTTTAGCTTTCCTTAAAAAGAAGCTATCGATAGCCAAATCCTGAAGCCCTTGCCCCAGTTCAGTCGACAAAGTTCTATTGACCATCTTAATAGTATTCCTGGAGTAAGGGCTTCCAAGTTTGACATTTACAATTAAAATGTTGTGAAAAATATCATTTGAATTTGTAAAAATAAACACTTTGTGGGCTAAAGCATCCGCAGGTGTAAGCGGGCACAATTCCATTGAAATCCATGGAGCGATCACAATTTAGAGCAGCTGACCTTCTGCTTTTATGCATGTTCGGAGAAACGCTGTAAACCTCAGAAGGCTTCAAAGCAAATCTCTGAAAACAAAATTCATATAGATTGTCATGGCTAGAGAGCAGCCAAACATATGTTGGGGACAGATACAAAATTCTCACTGTATTTCAAAGTAGTTTATTTAGGTGTCTAAAATTAGTTTTTTTCCCATGACTGAACAAGAACAGAAAGCAAGGACTTTTGGAACCATGGAAATTTACTATCTTTAGCTTTTACTGCAATGACATTAGAAAGACAGTATCATAGAAATATAGGAATTATTTGTTAAATGAAAACTTTTCTTTTTATTTACAGTACCAAAGGAAAATGTGGAACATGGCTATATATCTTTTCCTCATTTTTTGTATGCATTAAGGCAACTTATAAGTATTATTTTCTGTCTTAGTGTTGTCAGTTTTAGCCTGTTCTCCACTAGAGAGTGTGGTATATAAAAGCTTAGAAAAGCAGCTGACTGCCAATTCTGAGGATGGGAAAGAATTTTTAACATGTAGATATTTGTCAATGCAGTGGAGTGGTTTTTACCTTCCAGACAGCACTGATATTCTGTATCACATTTGAAGCTTTGTGTTTGTTCCTTCGAGTTTTGCCTCATCCTATTTGTGGGCCAGTACTGAGGATTCTCTTAGCTGGGTTTGTTCTTTTGTTACTACTTTGGTATCAGACATGCATTGCAAATAGTGGCTCAACACAGCTCCCAGTGGAATTCATGGAAAGATTCCTATGGATTTTAGTGGGAGTTATCAGACCTTAGTTCATTATTTGACTTTATATCACATCCCAAATCAGGGCTAGGTGAAATACATCAATGCTCAGTGAAAGCAAATGTGGGAAGAGAATTTAAATATAATGGACAACTTTTATCATACTTCATATTTGGTCCTATGCAGCAACAGCTATATTCTGTGTGTTCCATGCATATTACTTACATCTCAATCCAATTCTACAGAGATTCTCTATGTGAATTTCCCACGGAAGGCAGTAAGAGTTCCAGGCAAAAAATAACTACAGGATTGAGGCATTTAATATCAAACGGAGTTTAGTTCAAAGGCTCCGGGGGAAGACTCCTGTGAGTTTGTACTCCCAGAATGCATCACTAAAACATTTGCTTCCCCCTAAAACTAACCAAAGGCCCTATCCTGAAATCCATTTGTGCGCTGAAATTCTGATTTAATAAAGAATGACATCTAGATATAACCTGAGGAGTATAAAACTAAATGGAATAAATACAAGGAGGTTAAAAGGAATTAAGGATTTTTGGATAGTGTTAAATAAGCATATATAGCCAAGGGTATATTAATAAAAAAAAAAAGACAGCACACACTAAGAGAAATATGAAGATCTGGGAAACGTTTCCCATTGGTTTGCAATAGGAATTTTGTCTGAACAAGGACTTAAAGGGTTTAGCATAGAGCTGGCAAGCAATTTAAAACTATAATTGTGATTAATTGTATAATTATTCACACTTTTAAATAATAATAGGATACCATTTATTTAATTATTTGGGGCATTTTCTACATTTTCAAATGTATTGATTTCAATTGCAATACAGAATACCAAGTATACAGTGTTCACTTTTATATTATTGCTAAAAATGTTTGCATTGAAAAAAACAGTATTTTTCCAATCACCTAATACAAGTACTATAGTTCAATCTCTTTATCATGAAAGTTGAACTTACAAATGTAGACATTCAAAACAATGTCAAACTTTAGACTCTACAAATCCACTCAATCCTATTTTTTTTCAGCCATTCGCTCAAATGAGTTTGTTTACATTTGCAGGAGATAATATTGCCCATTTTGTGTTCAAAGTGTCACCTGAAAGTAAGAACAAGCATTCATGTGGTATTGTTGTAGCTGGTGATGCAAAATATTTACATGCCAGATGCACTGACAATTCATATGTGCCTTCATGCTTTAACCACCATTCTGAAAAACATGCATATGTGCTGCTTGATGACAATCCAAAGCAGTGCAGAATGACGTATGTACATTTTAATAATCTGAGTGAGATGTCACCAAAACATTGATCTTTTTTGGACTGTAAAAGCGACGAGGAGTCCTGTGGCACCTTATAGACTAACTGAAGTGTTGGAGCATAAGCTTTCGTGGGCAAAGACCCACTTCGTCAGATGCATGTAGTGGAAATTTCCAGAGGCAGGAATAAATATGCAGGCCAGGATCAGGCTGGAGATGATTTTGGACTGTAGTTTCTGCATCAGAGTGTTGCTCTTTAAGTTCTGAAGGCATGCGCCGCTCCTCATCCCACTCAGATTTTGGAAGGCACTTCAGATTCTTAAACCTTGGGTCCACTACTGTAGCTATCTTTAGCAATCTCACATTCTTTCTGTACCTTCTTTATGTTTTGTCAAATCTGCCGTGAAAGTTTTCCTAAAATGAACAGCATAGGCTGGCAAGCAATTTAAATATATAATTGTGATTAACTGTGTAATAGACTATACTATCACATGAAATTTATGGCAGAATGTGGGTAAAACAGATCCAAGGACTCCAAAGAGTTCATTCACAAATTTAATTCATGCATATTTTTAACAAGTGGCATCAGCATGGAAGCACGTCCTCTGGAATGTTGTGCAGACAAGAAGGGACATAGAAATATTTAGCATTTCTGGCCCAAAAAAATACCTTGCAGTGCTGGCTACAAAACCCTCATGTGCATGTCTATTCTTATTTTCTGATGACATTGTAAATAAGAAGTGGGCAACATTACCTCCCTTACATGTAAACAAACTTGTGATTGGCTGAACAAGAAATATGACCAAATGGTCATTTAAGCTCTAACATTTGCATTGTTTTGTTTTTGAGTGTAGTTATGTAACAAAAAACCCCTACGTTTTTAAGCTGCACTTTCACGATAAAGAGATTGCACTACATTACTGGTAGGAGGTGAACTGAAAAATACTATTTTTGTTTACAAATATTGACACTGTAAAACAGTCTAATGATTTAAAGTAAGCAGTTTACGTGCTGTATTCTGTGTTGTAACTGAAATCAATATATTCGAAAATATAGAAAAACATCCAAAATATTCCATAAATGTCAAGTGGTATTCTACTGTTGAACAGTGTTATTAAAATGGTGATTAATCATGATTACTCATGATTAATTTTGAGTTAATCACATGAGTTAACTGTGTTTAATTGACAGCCCTAGTTTGACCTATATCCCAGACTTTAACAGAGTCAAATGGAGATGTTCAATTAATGAAAAATAGATTAGTTTCTCATGTCCTCATTTAGAAGCAGAGTTAAAATTTCCTTCAGTGAACTGCATTCATCATTGCTACATAGGATATAATCTTGAAATTTAATTTTTTTAAAAGGCCTTTAAAAATCCTCATTCATGAATGCTTTTTCTTTTTCACCCAGATAAAGTTTATACTGTTCCTGAAACCAAGTCACGACTGAAGCAATCAAGATGAACCTTAATTCGTCTACCGAAGGGACTGTTAAAAGAATCCATGTTGACTGCCCTGTTTCAGGAAGACATGGCTATATATACATTATGGTCCCAACCGTTTACAGCATCATCTTTATTGTAGGCATATTTGGGAACAGCTTGGTGGTCATTGTCATTTGCTTCTACATGAAATTAAAGACTGTGGCTAGTGTCTTTCTGTTGAATTTAGCCCTGGCTGACTTGTGTTTCCTAATGACTTTGCCACTGTGGGCAGCCTACACAGCCATGGAATACCACTGGCCTTTTGGCAACTGTTTATGTAAAATAGCATCCGCTGTGGTAAGTTTCAACTTGTATGCCAGTGTGTTTCTACTCACATGTCTAAGCATTGACCGTTACCTGGCTATAGTACATCCAATGAAGTCCCGACTTCGGCGCACCATGCTTGTTGCCAAAATAACTTGCATCATCATCTGGCTGCTAGCAGGACTGGCTAGTTTGCCTGTCCTAATTCACCGTGATGTATTTTTTGTTGAGAATATGAATATGACAATTTGTGCTTTCCGGTACAAGACCCATAATATAACACTGCCTGTTGGGTTAGGTTTATCTAAGAACATGTTGGGGTTTTTTATTCCTTTTTTGATAATTTTAACAAGCTACACCTTAATCTGGAAGACACTGAAGAAGGCTTACCAAATTCAGAAAAACAAAACCAGAAATGATGAGATTTTTAAGATGATTGTGTCAATAGTACTTTTCTTCTTCTTTTCCTGGATCCCTCATCAAGTGTTTACCTTTCTGGATGTATTAATCCAGCTACGTATCATAACAGATTGCCAAATTGTTGATATTGTAGATACAGCTATGCCCTTCACTATCTGCATCGCTTATTTCAACAATTGCCTGAATCCCTTTCTTTATGGGTTTTTTGGAAAAAAATTTAAAAAATATTTCCTGCAACTACTAAAATACATTCCACCAAATGTCAGGGCACATCCAAGTCTAACAACAAAGATGAGTTCATTGTCCTATCGACCATCAGAAAACTTAAGTTTATCCATGAAAAAGGCTGTAGGGTCTTTTGACATTGAGTGATGTCTTTTGCGCTGTATGGTTCAAGAACAGCTGAAATTGCAAAAATGTCAAAATTCACCTACATTCCTGACATTACATCTTACTGCAATTACTGAGACATTAAAACACCTCCTAGAAATTGTCTTTGGAAGATTTAGCAGTGGCCTTTTGTATTGTCTAAAGGACTGTTCGTTGTTTTTATTTGAAGCAACTCAAGAAGATGGAAACTTGGGAGGTTTTTTGCAGCCTGCCTTCGAGCTCAGAACTTTGGAAGAAGGGTAAATGATGCTCCTGCAAAGATCTCAGAACTTAGGTTAAAAAACGATCATTTGTGAATTATATGAACTCTGCAGAATTTGCAGAGATTGTGGAGAACACAACTATGTCTGAAATATGGAAAAAATATCCATTTTCCTTGATACAAATAACCACACAACATTACATTTATATACATCTAGTTGGTGAATACATATTTTACATAAACAGATCTCATTCCCATTTTAGATTGAGATTTAAGGACTTCAAGACTGTGTTAACATACCTTTGTGCTATTATTCATTTTAAACATGGCAAAGACGCTATAATATAAAATGAAATGCAGATTTATTTATTAAATATAAAAAGTATAAATCTATACTTCTATTACTTATATTTCATATTAGAAAACATTATTTTTTACACACACATTTTTAATCACTATGTTAAATGTAGCCTGGGTATTTTTATGGCCATAGTTTATATATAAACCAGTCTTACTCTCATTTGACAGGGAATATCTCCCGTTGATTTGAGTGGGATTACTCAGAGTGAATTTTTATTTTATGTGACTAAGAGAACGAGAATATGCCCCAATTTTGGCAAAAAAATTGTCACCTTGTTAACAAGCTTCGAAAGATCAGCCAAAATTATTTTCATGGAATAATTACAGTACTAAATCAAATATAAATGAATTAATTTGACCCACACAGAACATCTCAAACTGTCTAAAATTGTTCCTGGATATTCAGAGCTCCACAAAGCAAAAATATAATAATACTTACTGGGATAAATTCTGCTCTCAAGTCATAGAAATGAAAATGTATGACCACATTTGCCCCTGACTTTTCAATTTGCCTAATAAAAACTTTCCAGAAATTTTTGTTCAAGTCCATTTTAAAATTGTCTAATCTGCCCAAAAAGCAAATAATCTATTTACAACATGGTCTGACAGAGAAAGATTAAGATAAAGTTACTCATCACAGTGGAGATTACCATTATAAATTCAGTATTTTTACAAATTAGAGATGACATACTTAACTAGTTTTGAAATCGGTTTGTGAGTTGTAGGATTATCCCTAATTTCTGAATATAAATTTATATTATATACAGAGCAATATTATTCCAGGATTTATTTTCTGGAAAATGAAAGGCACCATTATTATATTTACTATATTCATTTTAATATTAAAATTAGACAGTTTAATATCTAAATTTAATATTTTAAATTAGACAAATATATGCACGTGATAATCAACTAAACTTTCTGATTTTGAATTTTGAAGTAGGAATATTTCATTTTGCCATTATATTATATATTTTGGGTCTCACCTACCAGAGAGCATCCATCTTTTCCATTTGCAGATTGGCTGACTGTGGATGCTGTCTGCTGGGCTGGGCCATTAATGTGCTTTGGATACTCATGTATCATCTTAAAATGAGAGATGATCTCCCTGTCTTCTTGTGCATCTGAAAACTAGTTCCCCTTTCCATCTAGAGTCTGCGTTCCATAAGAGTAACTGACTCACAGGCTGGTGAGTTTATATTTTAAATTATCTGGGCGGGAGGAACAATTTAACAGCAATAAATGAACATGGAAGTGCACTGGTCAGTGTTTTTGATCACTTTGAGCCCAGGAAAGCTTATGGGTTAGTAACAAGTGCAGGAAAACTACTGCTCAGGGTTCTAAGCCTGTACAAATCCTGAGGAAGTAAGATGTATACTTGGATGTGTGACTATGGGAGAGACAGTGAAAGGGTGCATGTGATGTGTTTTTAATGAACAACCAACCCCCACATTAGTATTTAGAGGGAGCAGGGAATTAATCTTTTTCTAAGTAATTCTTTAGTCATGACTTTTATTGGAGGGTTGGAAGAGAATAGGTGCTAAATGTGTGTGGTTGCTAATCCAGCATTTGCAAAAACAAGTAACAGATGGTGGATAAAAAACTAATCTTAAATCCAGGCTTCCAAGTGTGCAGCCTCCAGGGACCTAGGTAAAGACAGCAATGCTAACTGTTTTCAAACAGAGTCAGAAGAGTGGGAAGTCCAATATGTGCCATTCCAGAGCCCTCTGCAAATCCACCACATTGTAAAAAGTCTGTCTGACCTAGTTGTGTGTAAGGCGGAGATTAGGGATGTTAATATTGGTTAATTGAATAGTTGATTAACCTCACATTCTTATGGGTTACTCAATTATTCTGTAGTCCCCGAGGGTGGGGCCACAAGCCAGTGCACTCTAACCCTATTTCCAAGGAGCCCCCTGCCATTCCGCACTTCTGCCTCTGTATCAGAGGCAGCAGCGTGGGATGCTGGGTGGGAGCTGGTCCGCGAGGGGAGCCAGTATAAAAACCAGCTCCCTTCGCGGACGGGCTGCCTATCGCCCCATGCTGCTGCCTGTGACACAGAAGCAACAGTGCAGGGTGGCAGCAGCCCCTTTCTGGGGAAGGGCGGGGGGGGGCGATGTCTGAGCTCCTGGACTTGGCGTGAGCCGGAACTGTGCCAGGCTGCCAGCCCACATGGCTCCTAATACACTTTAAATGCAGAGCTGCAGCTGGGGTAGGTCCCAGCGCAAGCCAGAACTGAGCTGGGCTGCTGGCCAGCCTGCTAAAAAATGTACTGGCAGGGGGAGGGGAATGAATGTAGTCTATAGCATTAACCTATAAGCTTTTGCTTATTGGTTAATCCCTAGTGGAGCTAAGGGGTGACACAGACCTCCCTGCTTCCTGCTGCCAGGCTGCAGAGTGCTAGCGCATAGCTACTACTTCACTTCAATGGCCCTTTAATCAGGCCCATGTAATTTGTCCACAATCTAAAAACTAATTTATACAGGCCTAAGGAGAACAAACTCCTACAGGCTTTAATAAATTCACTGTACACATTGTTGTTCTGTGCTCGAAGAAGGATACTGGATGTGATTTAATTGGGCTACAACTAAATTCTTAAGTGTCTGGGAGTACCCAGCAAATAAAAGTGTCTAGTGCAGGTTATTCCAAATTAATTTCAATATATATTGAGGGGGCTCCCATGAGCCCACCCTCTTATTTTGGTCCCAGCCCACACTGTTTCTGCTCCTTTAAATCCTTTACCAATCCATTTTATCGGAGCATTATATCTCTTCCCTATGGAGTATGGGCAGTGGACAGCCACCACGCATTTATGGAATGAGTTGCAATGATACAGCTTAACTCCCTTGTCATGTTTGCCCCAACTAAGCCCCCTCAAACTGCTGTGGAGAAGATAGAAAAAAAATCCATTTCACCCTGGCCATCTGGCAGTGAAGGAAAAATTTCTTCACAGGCCCCCAAGCATGGAGTAACTTACACAATGCCCTCAGCAAGTCCTGACAAAACCTTGGGTTTTACTACTTCCGCCAGTGAGTGCTGCTCTGCATGACTCAGATAAAATAGGACTTTTCCTATACTAATCTGGTCTGCTATAGTGCCTCCTCTCTTCTGCTAAACTTGGAGGGAAGGGAAATGAACCAATGTCCCTGTGCTGATTTGGGCTGCATCAAAGTCACTCCCTGGCTCCCTAGCCCTACTAGGGGCACACACCTTTTCCAGCAAGCCAGCCAAAGGTGCCCACCACTTAATGTGTGATAAGATCATAATAATCTGACAATTTTTAAAACAGATGCATTTATAGATCATCTTTCATCCTGAGAAAGACCAAGCACTTTACCAACTATGAAAATGGCTCTGTAATTTCCTCTGTTGGTATGAGAAACTCCAGCAGCTGTTAATGGGGTCTCTAGCTGTGAACCAAGGACAGCATACAGTCCTAAATACAGGAATTACTTCACCCAGTCCTGTCACTTCACAAATACATGCTGTTGCCAGGCTTGACTGAATATTTTGTATTTCCTTTCTGCTGGCAGAATCGTGTTTAAGCTATGGTCTGTCCAAAATGTACATTATATTTATTTCTATTTATTGTGTAATAACACTTTATATGACTCATGTTTCATACTGAACATCCTCCTAGATTGTCCTTCATGTTCTTATGCTTCATATATGTGCATGCTTATTGGGCTAAATGCCAGTGAAGTCAATTGAGTTATATCAGGAATGGATTTGGCCCATTATTTTAATACTTTCTGTATTATAATGTTTGTCAAAGTACCGCAGAGTGACTATTATGCAAAAAGGCTGTTTCTTATTTTCCAGTATTATTATTTCATTAAGATTCTCATCATCCACTTAAAATTCTGGTGGCATCAGTGGATGTGTATGTGGTTCTCAAGCTTTTCCTCATGTAGCTCAAGAAATTATTCATTTCCCATCAATGTGACTTCCTGTCCAAACATACTGTATATTACAATTGTAAACACTAAAGTTCCCAAAACTAAGTTTTGCAATGGAAAGAGGAAATCTCAGAAACACTGGGGAAAAAAACAACCCAAAAGTGATAGGCTGTTTATATTGCAAATTTCCATTTGCAAAAAATTATTTTTAGTAGGTGATGTTAAAAAAATTCAATGAAGCCTCTTTTCATTTTGTGTTCATAAATAACTAGACAAAGTTTTGAAAGGCCTCTCTTTGAAAATGGCATAACAAGATCCAGATATAAAATATCTGCCCTCATCAAGCCATTGTTATCCCCACTGCAAGGCCAAGGTCTCCTCAACACTGTCTCTACATCATGCTGAAGGGCTTGGCCAAAACCCCATGACACCTGTGGTTGTAAGACGACGAGGCTGTGTTATCAATCATCAAGTCTGCTTCCCCAGTGACCTTGCTACCAAGGCTGAACTAGCACATCGTTGATCTTGATAGCACGAGTTGTCAGACTCATTGCCAATGACTAAGTACTCATGCCCTCGATGCAAGCCATGAGTATACACTCAATGGGGGGACTAAGATATTAATTTAAATCTGCATAGCAGTGACTAATGTGATAAATATAGTGGCTAGTGTGGTGTCCTATAACTTTAAATGTATGTATGAAAAACTAAGCAACAAGATTTTAAAATGTAGAATTTTCTATAGTATTTTTGAGCAAATAATGTGTAAAGTGGTAAATGTGATCTGTTTGTTGCTTTGATTTTGCTGTCATATATATCTCTTGTATCCTGTTATTTCCACTCCAACTCATCTGAAGAAGTGGGTTTTACCCATGAAAGCTCATGATTCTATGTATTTTTGTTAGTCTCTACTGTGCCACAGGTCTACTCGTTGTTCGTTGCTTTATTAGAAATAATTTTAAATTGCATAAGGCTGCCTTGTTTAATTGTATTATTTGTGTATAGTGTAAGAGTTGCTTCTGTTGTCTTTATTATTCATATTAATGCCTAGATCAACATTTACTAGATTATGTTTCACAGGGGCATCTTTCCTGTTTATGTTGGTCATTTGGGAGTGACCGTTAAAATGTTTCCATTTTATTATAAGTACTCAAGAAATAATGCAGTCATGATAAGCTGAAAACTGGAGAAAGTGGCACAGAAAGGCCACTCAAATGAAAGGTTAGCTCTGTTCCTCAGTCAATATCAGCCATACCAAAGTTCTCCTAATTAATACTTTTTTGTATCTGCTGTGCTACATGGAAGGTTTGATCTAATTCCCTTTGGCATAAATACAAAGGCTCACAGTGTCTTCATTGTAAATGAGATTAGGCCCTAGCCTCCATGGAGTTTTTATTTTGCAAAAAGAATTCAGGATTTGGCCCAAAAAGAGCACTTCAAATTTCTAGGCTGAAACTAAGGATGTAAGAGACTACTTGAGTAGTTGACTACCCAATAAGCATAGGCTTATCTAGTTGCTCAACTAGTTCTTTTCCCCCCTCTGCTGCCTCTGTATCAGAGGCAGCGGGGGAGAGGAGGGTTAGCAGGAGCCTGCTTAAAAGCCAGTTCCCCCCAGCACCATCGCCGTGGGGTAGGAGGAGGAGGGCAGGGAAGACTGAGCCCCAGCAGTCCCAGAGGCAGCCCAAGCCACAGGACTGTTCAGTCCCGGCTCGCACCACTTCTGAGAGCTAACCCCGCTGCGGCTCTGCACTTTAAATGTAGTAAGAGCCCGCTGGGCATTTAAAGTGCAGAGCCGCAGTGGAAGCGCCCCCTCCCCCATCAACTAGTCAATGGAATTTCGATTAATTAATGGATACTTAACATCTTTAGCTGAAACCAAATGGCATCAGTCCTGTCCACATTTTGACTCTGGAAACCCTACAAAGCCTTAGCAGTGCCTACCCCACATGCTTAGCCTACTGGAGGATTCCACACTGTAGAAAACAGATAAGGATCTTAGTACATCTGGGCCTATACATTTTGTATTTAACTTGCTTAGTCTCTATGTACTTTAATTATCCCTATTACTATTTGTATTATGCTAGTACCTAGAGGCCCTGGTCAGGGCCTGTTATAATAGGAGGCATACAAACACCAGAGATGACACAATCCTGCCTCATGGAGCTTACAATATAATTGCGGGGGAGGGAATAGTAACAGTATCTAAAGGCCAACTGAAAAATTATAAAGACTATTTATGACCAAAGTGCAAACATTTCAATCATTTTCATCCAACGGGCTCTTAATTTAGAATAAATTATTTTTTTAAGTACAAACATTTTAATTAAAAAAGAATTCAAATTTGGTCTTATTGCCGCTGAAAAAGGGAAACGGGGTATTACAAAGGTTTTATTTTGGAGTTCTCGGGAGCAGGACAACAAAATTTCCCATTCAAAAAATGCTTCCCCAAAATGTTAATAAAAATAAGTTTACTATAAAAACTCACATACAATAAAAAGTGTTTGGGCCAAAATATTTGTCCCAGATCTGTTAGTGGTTTGCTTGCCACTGTTTGGCATCTCTTTCATAAGAGGTTGGGGGTTTTTCCCCTTAAAAACTGAACAGATCAATGGTTTTCAACCTGTGGTCTGCAGATCCCCAGGGAGGTCTACAGGGTCCATGAAAAGTGACTACAAAATACAAAGTTTCAGAGCCCAGAAAAGGCTTTCTGTTCCTCTGATCAAAACTATGTGAATATTCCCATCTACAGGGCAAAACACAGAAGTGTTGTCATTACTATAGAAGCCTACAATTTAGTGTCCTTTCTTGTGCTGTGTCAAATGCATGCTGAGCATAAGCAACATTTTTAGTTTAATTCTGTTCAATCACTTTTCAGTCTAAGACTAAGGTAGGAGTCCACAGACCACAACGTGAATTTCTAAAGTGAGCCACACTTCAATTTGACATTGGTTAGGGTCCACAAATGAAAACAGATTCTATATCTATAAAAGGCAATGTACTGCAATGTTTATGAGCATTCGCTATCCATAAATAACCTGAGATCACATATTCCTTAGTTTATTACACAAAAAA